GATACAACATTTATATCACTTTTTGGGTTTATTTTTGTAATTGTGATGTAACACATAAGAAATTTAATACTATATCTGAAAGGCTAAGACTAAAGTCTGTGCGCACTTCCTTGTTCAACATGATTTCACTCCCCCATCCTTCATATTTAAGTCTAGTGATTTTTATGATTGGTCACATAATATGCAGGTTATATCATGGAGATGGAATTTATGATACTTAATTTCACTGAAGATACAAAAAAGTTTGTAGATAAGTTAGAAAATTACATATTTCTAAATATTCTGAAAACATGACTGAATCTCAAGTGTTTTGTAGTACTACTTTTAACTCTGTCCTTATAAAAGCAGCCCAAATTCTTGCAGCTCCAAGTAACTTAAGGAAGAGGATTTATCAAATGCCTCAAAGTCAGGCCAAATTATTTACTAGCACAGTCTGGAAATGAATCTACTGCTCTAAACTAAGGTATGTGTTTAGGATTCAGATCGACCCTTATGGGTGGTATAACTTATTCTGCATTCCCATTGCCACGTGTTCCTCATTTACTGGACTATCTTTATATGAAAAAAAATTTAAGCAAATTTAAAAAATCTCTAAGTATAACATGCTTTGATTACCTTAATAATATTTATTATCTTAGAATTCAATGTAATTTTTACTTCATCATTTATTAATTACCCAGTGACCCATTATACCAGTGCCCCCAGCACTAAATATCTGGCTGTTATTATAGTTGGACTTCTCTCAATCTTGGGCAAAGAAAATTTCCCTAAAAGCCACAGGAATTCCCTGAGATAAAACTTCCCTAGAAACTGAGTTAAAGGTGTAACTCTGTTGGTAAGTACCTTTGGTCCAATATTCATTCTTTCACTTCTCCATTCAGTTTATCGAATTGAATTTATCAAATACCAACTATATTTCAGGCAATGTATAGACTACACTAGAGATAAGAAAATAAGGAAGACTTAGACCTTGATCTAGAGTTGTTCACAGACACCACAATAGCAGAGATTCGCAAATAAATAATTATATACAACAGGTATTTGCTCTGTTGAGTATGGCTTGGGTCAGACCCACAGGAGGGCCTGGAGAAGAGCTGGGAAACAATAACACAGATACATCTCCTGAAATACCAGTCACTGCTGCCCTTGTCCACCAGCCATGACCAGAACATCTAACTTCTAAGCAGATCAGCTAAGCTTGTTTAAAACATTGTCCTTTCCTTTCACAAAACAAAAACTTACTTCTCCACATGTGTTCCTAGATTAGTAACTGGTACCCCCGTTTGTACAGTCTCCCCACCTAGAAACCATGGAGGTTTCCTAATTTCTTTCTTCTTCACACACCATGGCCAACCAGTAACTGGGAATTGTTGTAGCCTCCTCTCTGTCCCTTCCTTCTCAGCACTGCTAATGTTGCTGCAAAACACAACATTACTTTATTTCACATAAATAAAGTTACTTTATTTCACTAAAATAAAGACTTTTTACTTACCCTAAATTACAAAGGCATGCAATTGATTATATCAGGTTTTCTAAAAATAGTAGTTTGTGGCATCATATAAAATATGCACCAGTCACCACAGAGTAAGCTTGTGCTTCACACAAGCCCTCCTATTTGGATATTTGCAATAAACTGTTCGTTTTACCCAACTTGAGACTTGCCTCATTCCAACACACTCTCCCCATATCAAATTAAAAATTGAAATGACTCTATTTCCTGTAGGAAAAGGTCTAAACTCCTTAGTGGTATGTTTATGTTGAGGGTGCTAATGTTTAAGCCAACCTGGTTGGATCCAAATCCTGGTTTTGCTGCTTACTAAGGTAGTTATTTAAGCTCTCAGACCAGTTTTAACCATAAAATTGGGAAAGAAATGTAATCTGTGTCCTAAGGTTATTATGTGTTAAGACTGTGCATATAAAATGGTTAATGGGCCTCCCTGGTGGCGCAAGGGGTTAAGACGCAACCTATGAAGCTGTCCGCAGCCTCTGCAGCACAAGTTCGATCCCCAGCCAGTGAGCTACCCACATGGCACAGCAGACCTCTCCTGATTCACCCGCTGCTCCCCTCAGCAGTGTATTTCGGTCATTCCACCTGTTCTGCCCCACACTCTGTCTCTGATGAATCCTCTCACCCCCCACACTTCTGGCCTGTACCCCAGTTCTTGTATGCAAAAATAAATAAATCTTTATAAAAAATAATAAAATGGTTCATAATGTCTGGCACAAAATAAACACAATGGTGGTGGTAGTCACGGTGGGATAGTGTGAAGTAGTGTCCCAGGTAAGTATGGACAGGCAGGATTCATGTTGCCTTCTAGGGACTGTCGTTGTATAAATGATAAATGCTGTTACAATTTTAACATGATGCTAAATGATCAGGGAGTCTGAGAAAAAACTATAAAATCTTGTTTTCAAATGTCTTATTGAAACTTTAGTTGTGGAGGGTAGAGGGTAACTCAAGTTCTAAAATACAACTTAGTACCTCCCAAACCACAAGCATGAAAATTGCAAAATATTCATGATTTTGTTCCTGTGTACCTTTACCGTAACCACAAGCAATTTGGTTATAGTATATGTAAACATTTAGGAATTCTCCTAGGAATAATTTGGAGAGAAACAAAAAGAAGGAACTAGACATTGACCAGACAAAAGGGAAGAGAAAGTAGGAAACTACAATAAAGTAGTAGAGAGCTTGCAGTAAAGCTTAGGAAAGAGGAAAGATGACGGAGATAAACAATGACTTGTGGAGGATGAGGGCTACTAAGATTTAAGAGTTGCTGGTGAAAGTAGAGTAAGGGCCCTATAGTGCAGGGCCGTACAGAATACATATAAATTCAAAGTGACCAGTAAATACATATAAATTCAAACCAGTGTTAAACACATATTAAAAAAGAAACAGTTGAGGAAATGCCTTTTAGCACCAAGCACAAAATATGTAGAATTTCAATTTAGGCTCCATATACTGTGTTTAGACCACTGCTAACACAGTGACTTTAGAACGAAAATTAATTAACTTTTCTCAATTCTGTCATCTCGAAGATGGGGATATAATAGTACTAACCACATAGAATAGGTAGGATTAATTGAGAAAGTAGCCTCAAGGACTTTGCTGATAATTTGTAAATAGCAAACAAGCACAATAGTAATGTGAGCTCTTCCTGTTGGTGGTAATTAAAACACTATGTTTGTTTTCTACAATATTTTACAAATATCTCAATTAAATTTGGGGAGAAGGGTATAATACAGTGACTTGTTTTTTCCTACATGACAGTTAATGTTTGCTAATGTCTGTTATTTAGAATATTAGCTTTTGTTCTCCTATTCTAGCGAAAGGAAAATATTCTAGAGCTTCCTAAATGTGTTGCTTGTCTCTCTTTCTCCACTCTGTTTTTCACATGTGGATTAAGTTCCTACAGAATTTGATCTACAACTGAAGAATGTAATCTGCAGCTGAAAAACTAGAGAATTTCCTAACTCCTTACCAAATTTAATGAATACAATAATTGTTATAATGCTTCTAAAATGCTTGTATGTCTTAATTAGTCTCCCTATTGTCATGTATACCCTATTTCTGGTATTAAATAAGTTCATCTTTTCTGGTACAAAGTAATTTTATGGATCTAAACCAGCTTGATTTTCATACTTTAATACAACAATATTATTATTAGTGCTGTGTTGGAGAACATCTCCTATGGGACCTCTCTCTCCAGCTCAGTTAGGTAACTCCCCAAACCCTGTGCTCCCACAAACTCTGTCATTTCTATCTCTTTCTTTTTAACTTATTTGTAACTTCAAATAAGTTGTGAACACATTAGCCTTAATGGTAAGAATCATGTCATGCAATGTAGAACAGGACTTGGTGGATACTCAGATGATTTTTGTTAAGTCAATGAATGCTACCCCCTGTATCACTTATCCAATACTTAGACCGTGGTTAGTAGTACACAATAACTGGTCAAATGAATTAATCAGTTAAAAAGGCCATTAAAAATAAGATAAAGTAGGTAAAAATAAGATTAAAAATGTAACCCCAAAATTATAATTTAAAAAGAAGATATAAAATGTAACTGTAGAATTAATAGTAACCTAATTCCAAAGACTGTGGTTCTCTGTCTGGCTTCTTGCCCTTCCTCAGATGCCAAATGCCTTACCCTAGCTGCCTGCTTGCTAACTACTCAGTAGCCTTCATGAGTGACAGGTCTAGCCTTCTACCCTGGAAGACTGAAGAGGGCACCTGACACCAGTGACTGCTGTTTGGGGCTGAAGAGCTCTAGGCCTTAACTCTTAAGAGTACGATAGGTGATACTGGAAAAGTCGTAGTATACGCAGGAAACTTGTTTACCATGAATGTCTGTAATTGAGCCTTCATCTCTTCGTTCACAGGAACTTGACTTATGATACGTAATTACATAGTAAGCAAATAGTAGACATAAATCAACATTGAAAATTGCCACCTGGACCAACACCACATGCTGTGTCAACCTAATGTGAGAGCTAGTTTCTTCTCGGCACATGACGAATAATCAGAGGCAAGTTTGCAGGTGCTGTAAGAAACAGCTTAAAAGACTATCCTGGCATCCATCGGTAGCCTCAATGTATACCACTAATTGCCCATAGTGTGATGATTCTAAGCCATGGGCTTGCTTGGACCTTAGAACCTTAACCCAGTGTGTTGCAGCCTTCCCCCTCCAAGTACCCCTAGAATTACTGCCATTGGCATGTGTCCAAGAAGAAGGCTTGAACAGCTGCCTTGATAAATGGGTTTCCCCCATTCAGGCTTGCAAATGGGGAGTTTGAACTGCTTTGCAGTACTCCCTGCCTCTGGATTATAGAAGCTGCTTACAATGATAATCAAGTATCCTGCTCACTGGTACTATGTATTTTTCTTTTTGGAGATACGTAAATATTTTTAGGGTCCTTTAATGAAAGGAATAAGAAATCTCTCTAAAGAGAGTTGGTTTCAGCTTTTCTCTTTTTTTCTTTTTCTTTTTGTCTCTCAGACAGTAGGGATTGTATCCTGGAGCCGCTTTCCCTGCCAGAAAGTCCAGGTGGCACCACCACTTTAGAAGGTTCTCCATCTGTGCCTTGTATTTTTTGTGAAGAACATTTTCCTATGACTGAACAGGACACACTTCTGAAGCACATGATTATTGAACATAAGATTGTTATAGCTGATGTCAAGTTGGTTGCTGATTTCCAAAGGTAAATTTTTGTTTGGTCCATAAAAGAATTCAATGTATTTATTCCTTAGAGGAATGGCATAACATATATAAAATTTTTTCCTGTACGGATTTAAAAATTCATGTTCTCCTTCAGACCTCTTCCTTGTCTTTTTTTTTTTAATCTTTGCACTCATTTGCCTTCCTTATTGTATAAATTGCATCTGAGAATGTTACATAATGTTGTATTGCCTACATATTCAAGAACTGACCAACTTTCCAAAGAGCGGGTAATAGACCCTTTACCACAGTCCTTGGGATTGTTGGCATCCTGATCTCTCTCAGACTGATGTTCTTTTCATGTTTCAGACCTTACAACCTAGAGAGTCCTTCCACAAAATCCAGATACACTTGGTAAAAGGCCAATTAAAGGGCAGTTTGGGGGAATAGAGGTCCTCTTGGCATCTTTAAAACCAAAGGGTATTGTTCAAACTACTGTCAGCTTACGTGCTAAGATAAGGTTGAAAAGCCAGGAGAAAAAATGAGTCATGCCATGAGCAGAGGGAGAGTAAGAGTAGACTATTGCTAAGGTCAATGACTGAGGTACTGAGAGAAAGAGGATGAAGAAAATGAAGAGTGGATAGAGGTTGAGTGGTTGAGAAACTGCCAACACTGGAAATACAGAAACCTGACCTGTACAGCCAAGGTCCAAAGAGAGTTAGACTAGAACTTATAAGTGCCTGTCTTAAAATGATCCTTATCAACAGACAAATAATGGAGGCAATTATTTTTTCCCCAATTCACAATATATAGATGTAATTGACCAAGAGCAATGTCTTCTCTTAAGTAGTTACAGCGGAGTAGTTGTGTTCATGACATTATCAAGGGCACCTGCTAAGATCTGAGACATCTTTTATACCCAATTAATGTAGCCAAAAATTAGTTTTCTGCAACTATAGCTTGAGTTTTCCGTAGGCATTTATCATTCGTGAACTTTAACTTTTGAGAACATTTCAGTTAGCATTCCAAAGTGCCGGAATAATTTTTTAAGTTGGAATCGCCAAAATAGTCATACAGATAATATCACCTATTCTCTAGTCCTTCATTCCCTTCCCAGCTACCTAGTACCAATAACTAAATGTTTGCTGTGTGCCTTCTTGGTGTGGGCCTTTACATTTACTCAGCATTGCTGAGTCAGTTTTGGTGCTGCCTAGTCAGGGGTAGAGGTAAAACAAAGTAGGGGAGGCCAGTTATATGAATGATGTATGCCAGCAACTGGTATAATAAAGTTTTATTTTCAGAGGAAGTATTCTCTGCTTTCATTCTCATGCATTATTGTGCGTGTGTTTTCTGGGAGAAAACACATATATGATATGTAATTATGTAGTCTTCATATATGACATGTAATTATATCTAGTCACGTCTATTGATTTTTGAACACTTAGTGGGCTACAGATCTTCAAATTCCTTTCTTAATCAAACCCATTGACAGGGTTATCAAATAGTTTCTCCCAGAGGTTAACTAGTAATTTGAAGTTTGAAGCCAAATTTTTTCTATCCATTGTCCTCCTACCTAAATTAAATTTTCACTCTCAGGAAGTAAAAATGTGATAAATTCAAACTGACCAAGAATATACATGAATAAATTCTGTTGTTTTTCAATATCTTTCAATCTAATCACCTTTAGATCATACCCTCCTACTATTTAGGGAAACTAAAAATACTACTCCATAGCAATATAGTCATTGATGATTTGTGATCAGGATTAACTTGGAGATGGTTCCTTTCCTCAGTTCAAAAAAATGGTATGATGGAGAAGCGTGTGGAGGAGAAAGCGAGGATTCACTTGGTGTGAATTAATTCACTCAGAGTTTCTGTACAACTTGAATAATCTTATATGTACATATAAAACTTCTCAGAGAGTAAAGCTACTGCCAAGTACAATAAGTAATAAAGATGGTAAATAAAGATAAGAGATGGTCTTACCTTGTGCTTTTCAAGAAATAAGCTATAAGTTTTCATGTTAAATTTATTTGACATTTTCTTTATTGAAACAAAGTAACAATAAAACTCTCTGAGGCAGAGGGAATAAGATGAAAATAAAAGTCTTTCCTTTGAGTCATTTAACATAGTTATTTATACTGAATTGTTAGCTTTATTCAGTAATAAGATTTCCAGAAGATAAATGTTAACTCCTTAATTCTTCCCCTTTTCTATATTAAATCCCACTCGTTCAGTGCTACTTAATTAGCAATCATATCTCAAATCTTTATGCCTCTGTCAATAAGCACACTAGTTACAGTGGGAGGGTGGGCAGGCAAGATATTACTACAAGCACTTTTTGTGAGATAATTCTGTGAAGGGTGACTAAAGTTCTTTTTATAAAAGTATTTGCTGGGGCCTCCCTGGTGGTGCAAGGGGTTAAGCACTGCATTATGAAGCAATCCACAGCCTCTGCAGCATGAGTTCAATCCCCAGTCTGCCACATGGTGAGGCAGACCTGTCTCCCCTGCTGCTCCCCTCAGCAGTGTATTTCAGTAGTCTGCCTGTTCTGTTCCCCATTCTGTCTCTGGTGGGTCCTCTCACCTCCTGCATCTTGGCCTGTACCCCAGCTCTTGTATGCATAAATAAATCTTTTGAAAAAAAAAAAAAAAAGTATTTGCTAAAGACCTTTGTTGTTCTTTCCACCCAATATTCTTACAGGAAAAGGACTCTGAAACAAAAACTTTGCCTTATATGACTGACCCATTAGCTACTTTTTCCTCCTTTTCTCAGGAGCTGCCTAATATCTCAGAGATGTAGCTAGAAATGGTATCTGCAGAATATGCTCTCCAAAATTCACACCAACTTTTCATGGAACAATAAATAACTTTTCATCAAGTATAAAAACTGGTAGACTGTGGGCATAAAGCATTGTCTTCTCTCCCATGGTCCCTGAAAAACCTTCCCTAATATTTGAGGAAGGTAACTGAGGTTCTTCTAGACAAATCTTCCCATGATTATTAAGTCATTTGATATAAGTACTTGCTTCCCTTGTGCTACAACCTTGAAATAAACTCCCTTCCAAAATAAGTATGTGATAAGAATCCTTCTCTTCAAATATCCGTGACAATACCCAAACTTGGAAATCCTTGGAGACTAAGACCCATTAACTGTTGGAATCAGGATCTTGTTACCTCTGTGGGAGCACTTCTTTGCACCTCTGGCCTCCTTAAGCAGTTCCAAAACAACAGCCCCCAACAACTGGTGTCAACTTTCAGTATTTGGGCAGTAAGTTAGGAGCACTTCAGATCAAGGGCCACTTTAGGTAATGCTTTTCAGAAAGGGGGCATATTCTGTAGCTCAGTTTTGTCTTCTCAAAATCATTCTCCTTTGTCCCTAAGAGGAAAAGGTGCTTCAAGTGCTGTTACAACTATAATTTTAGGGGCTATTTCCCGTCCCTTTATTCTGCAGTTTTTGTGTAGAGTGGTTCTCACTTAACACTTAGAGGCACTGTGTTGTAGGAGACTAGTTTGGATTTAGAGCCAGAGAGACCAAGTTCAGATCCCAATTCTGACATTCTAACTGTGACCTTGGGTAGGTAAAGTCTTAGTAACCAGTAGCAGCTAATAATTGGCATCCTTATTATCATCATCACTCTGCTTATCTTCCACCACCTTAGCCACATGTATATGCCCACAGATGCTATTAATAAAACTATTTTGACCTGCTTAAAATGTTTAATGAAATGACATCATTATTGTTTCGTTGTTAGTCACCAGTTTTTCTCTGGAATAAACCTTATAATTTACTACTTTTTTTCTTTACTACTTTATCTAAATATTTACATTTTTCTTATAATAACTCCCATTGTTAAACACTCAGGACATTGACATGTATCATTCTATTTAAGTATCAAATGAGTCAACTGAGTTTCAAAAGGTTAAAAATGTTTAATTCACATTCATATGTCTGAATGCATAGTCCCCGTTCCTCTATTTAGTATTGCCTGCAGGATTGATGGAGGCAGTTATTAAAACATCAACTCTGAGCATTTAACCACAGTCTTAATTAAAAAAAAAATTTTCTAGCTCAAGATCCAAGCAGATAAGAGACCCTTGTTGTGTTGACTGGCTCTTCATTATAAAGTAAATTGATGACAGTTCAAGGAACAGTCTGGTCACTAGTTTCAACTCTGGCCTTACCTGCTTCGTGTTGTTTCACACCGATTACTAAATCTGAAAATTTTTCAAATACAAGCAGCCTGCATATCCGAGGAACTATCACTGCCTTCTAACAAATGTAGCCCCATAATGGGACCAATATTACGAAGGGCTGTCTGCTATTCTTGGTTTATCTGGAAGATATCAGATGGTCCTCAGAGGAGCTATGGACAGGAGTGACGAGCAGCCCCTCGTTGTACTGGTAGCCATGCAGCCACTCTGGATTGAACTTGACTCTCCTGTTTTTTTCAGTTCAGTTATTTCAGCATCTGGTTGGTTGGTCATGGAAATTGGTCATAAAAATCTCTGTATTCCAATTTGGAAAGAACAGTCTATCTCCTATTTCTGACATCTCTAATAGAGGTTGTCCTATGTTCCTTCATCCCTGTCACCACTTTGTAATAGAAAATATGCTGATAAGATAATAAAAACAATGACTGGAAATATCATGTTCTCTTAATTCTTCTCTTGCTTTTGCTTTTTCCCTTTTTTCTTTTTCCTCCAGGGGAAATAAAAGCACCCGGCAGGAGAGGGGGGAGATGAAAAAAGGAAAATTAGAGTTTTGTAGGATACTGAGGATTGCAGGGTGCTGAAGCAATCCCAGAGTGGCCAAGGAAATGTTTCAGCCTTTTCCTCTTTTTGTGTGGATTTAATATGCACTGCCTTCTGCTTCTGATACTTCTAACGCGGACGCCTGCGAGCAAGCCATAGAAACATGATACATCATTTATGGTATTTATGATTTGAAGCTAAGCTAGAGCCTAAAATATGTCATTCTCAGATCTCTTTAAGACAAGGTCTATCACTGCTCTATAAGGATAGAGTTCTCCCTTTACTTACCAATCAATTGATAGTGTGTCTGTGTATAAGAAGAAAGGAAAACATACGGTTCTCTGGAATATAGAAAAACCAAACAAAGGATCAGACAAAGACAAATGTTAAAACTGACCCTTAAAAGCTGACCATAGATCTGAGGCACCCAGGAGGGAAGAGGGAATCAGGACAATAGAAGGAGAAAAAACAGTGTGGGGACTATGGTGGAGGACTCTCTCTGCTTTGGTGGTGGGAGAACTATGATTGACCACGCCTGAAGGGAGAAATCCTATACTATCAAAATATTAACAAGTGTGTAAAACAATGGTACTTGACTAAAATACATATATATTATAAAACCATATGGTTCTGTTTTTATACATTCTGCTCTTCTTTTCCTTTTATGTTCTATACTCAGCATTCTCATCCATTTAGATTTATTTTAGCTCATGTGACAGTTTTCTCTTTCTCTTAGACCTCCCTGCCAGCACATGTTTTTCCTAATATGTGTGTGCATGAATGCCCCTTCTGTAGAGGGCATTTTCTCAATCATGGGATTGGGAAATTGTGAAGAACAAAAAGCAGGTAAGAATAAAAGGAGACAAAATACTGGAAGGTGGAGGCTACTAAAGGCAAATTCAGTAAACTTTAAATGCTCTTATCCCTCTTTAAAAGGTATAGTGGACTTACCATGTAAAACACAGCTAGGTGCTGCATCAGACCATTTAAATGCCTAAACTCCTCTTTCTGTAAACTTCATCTGTACTTCACCTGTTTCACTAAGTCCCATCACTTCAACTATAGACAGCCTTTCTATTTCCTTTCTCTCCATGAAGGAAACCACAATCTCTCTTGTTACCATTTGATAAATGAGATTGCAATTGCCAATATAAATCTTGTTAGACAAATGAGAAGATGAGCAGCTTGTTGAATCCTATCATCTTACTCCCTCTTTCATCAACTATTGAGGCTTGAGTGGTATGCTCTGCTTTTAAATTTAGCCAATGTGCTTCTTTATAACTCTGCCTATTAGATACAAGAATTATAACCTTGGTGATTTTTCCAAAGGCTAAATTTGTCTCATTTCAGGCACAGTGTGGACATTCAGATAAAGAATTTAGACTGACTTCTCATTGCATTATTATTATGACTCCTATTCTTTTGATGTATAAGATAACCAACCAAGTTTCAATTTATTGGTAAAATGTATGATAAAGCCTATTTAATCGTTGTTGCATTTCAAATTCACATGAACTTAGATGTGATTTCAGAAAAACTTCATTATCACAAAGAAAATAATTCATTTTAGCTTTCCCATATGTCTGTTTATTAAATTTGGGAATAGTAAAGTTTAATCATTTCCATGCCTTTACAGGGTAATTTCATTTCATTAAATATTTATTATTTCTACAATGCTCTACTGCCTTTGTATTTACAAATTTTCTAGCAGTTTTCAGTCAACATTTGATTTGTTGCTTTGGAATGATAAAATGTTCTTATAAAATCCAATCATACTGAATAAAGGAATATATTGAGTCTTCTCACCATCTTTTCTTTTTTATTGTTCTAAGGTACATTTTATATTGGAGGAAAAGGTTCACTGAACAGCCCATTACCGATTTTTGTAGTGTGATAAGAATTAATTCCACAGCTCCTGTTGGTAAGTGAACATCTTGGCTACCATTCTTTCTATATAATCCAAAAATTGTAAGGAGTAGTCTGTCTGTCTTAAATTAGAAATCGCTCACTTTAATAATTTCTAAAGTTTAATTGCTGTGTTTATGTTATCTAACTTCAGTAAAATTGAAACAGACCCATGTAACAGAAGGGAGATCCAATAGATATATGTGTAGACGTGTCTATAGATGATAGAGGATTGGTTGGTTGGTTGGTTGGTTAATTGGTAGGTAGGCCCATTGGTAGGTAGGTAGATAGCTAGAAGGATAGATACATATTTTTGCTGAAAGGACAAGAGTTCTTCTGGGAAAAAATGGTAGGTATTGTTTCTCATTTATTTTCCTAATCTCTCAACAGAAGAGCAAGACAATTATTTTTTGTTATGTGATGTTTTACCGGAAGATAGAGTACTTAGAGAAGAGCTTCAGAAACAGAGACTGGTAAGAATTATTTTAAAGGATGAACAATGTGTAGGAAATACATACATAATATTTTTTTTAAGTTTTTATTCTGGAAATTGTCAAACATACACAAAGAGGAAATAATACATAAAGATCTTAAAACATAGAAAAGCATACACTTGATTGAAGATTGAAGCATTTCATGTTAAAAATGCAGAGAGAATTTTTGGCTTTGTTTTGCTTCCTGGATTATCTAAAATAACAACAAAGCTTACACATTTTAGTATAATTTTAGCTGCCTGACACATGCTAGGGTTCAGCAGTCGTGGAAAAATGCCCCCAGCTAAATTGAGTTGAATTGATTAACTTATTTTCTCCTCTTCACTGGAATGTGCTATGCACTAGCACTTCTTTATTCCCCTTTATGAATTAAGCATATAGTTTTATCAACAGAGTAGCCTTTATCATTTTCATCCTTAACTAGAACAAAGCTAATTTGAAAACCTCAGCATCTTTAAAAAAAGAGCATAGGGCCTCCCCGGTGGCATAGCAGGTTGAACGCAGCACTGTGAGGCTGTCCGCACCCTCTGCAGTGCAGATTTGATTCCTGGACAGCCAGGGAGATATCCACATGGTGCGGCAGACCTCTCCTGCCTCGCCCGCTGCTCCCCTCAGCATTGCTTTCAGTCCATCTGCCTGTTCTGTTTCCCGCTCTGTCTCTGGTGAATGCTCTCACCCTCCCGCGCTTCTGGCCTGTACCCCAGTTCTTATATAAATAAATAAATCTTTAAAAAATAAAAAGAGCATATATAAATGTGAAAATTTTCATATGTTGAAGAGTAATTTCTTAAAGTCATTAATTTTGTTTAAAAATATGCAGTTTCCCATTACTTTTGATTTAGCCTCAACTATTCTTTGAATTGATTTACTCTTCCCTTTGTGGTTTAAGTGTTCTTTTTATCTTCTGACATGGCTAGATAAGTTATGAGAAAGAACTGTCATTTCAATATTTCTGCTAAATCCTCAAGAGATTTAGGAGGAAAATGAATCCTATGTATACTACACCCATATGATTTGAGAAAATCCCCTGAAACAAATTTTATTTTGTAAACATCCCAATGATTACTTCCTCCCACAGGGAGAGATAATATTGCTGAATACTGATTTATAAGTAAGAAAAATTCTGCTTTTCCTATAGCGGTAAGTCCACTAAAGAATTGGCACTTCCTTTCTCTTTTTTTACCTACAGTGATTTCTTAGGAAAGCCCATAACAAGGATGATTTTTTTTTTTTTTACTGTCATATTTTATGAATTTTGGTTCGGTGAACTCATTCATAATTTTTAATTTTAATTTCCATGAATTTTTTTCCATTCTTGTTCACAATGACCTTAATCAAAACCAGTCAGATTGTCATCATCCCTCCCAAAAATTTCTTTGTAAAATCTCAAACCTTACTACTTAACTACTGCTGTTTCTCAGTAAACACAATCCTTGCTGTATATCTGCAGATAGACTTGAGTCCCCAGTGTTAACATGGAACCAAGGGGTATCCAGGGACACCTAACTATTAAGGAGGGTTAAAGTAAGAGGTTTGTCTGGATGATCCTCCTTTGGAAGTTGGCAGTAAGGACAGATTATCTCATGTGTAATGAGTTCTGCAAATCAGTAGCAGGCATTTCCAGAATGAAGTCTACATGACCAAAGAAATAACTTCCAACAAAAGTCATAATATACCTTTTTCTTCTATTAAGTTAGTAAGATTTGAAAATAATGCTACTAAATAGTGACATGAATGTTAGAAGACAGGAACTTTTTTCCAGCACTTGTAAGAATGTGGTGTACCATTCCTGAAAGGCATTTTGTCATCATGTATTGGAACTTGAAGATGTTGATGCTTTTGCTCCATATTCTCCCTCTAAGAACTCATCCTAGGAAAATCACGTAACCAGAGGATTATGAAATCAACTATTCTGCCAAGGTTTAGTTGTTTCTCCTTATTTTGTTATTAATGATACTTTATCAAACAATTCCTCTTCATTAGTTTCCATCTAGCTTCTGGAAATTGTAGTTTATACCAATTAAACTGCTTGGCGGTGGTTATATAATTGACTGTATTTTTGAGTAAACCCATCTCATTGTCAGGAGACTTTCAAATCCATGAGGGGAAACCTTCTAATGAGAGTACTACTGGGCTTTTGCTCTTCTGAGATCTGCATTAATGATTAATTGCATACATATCAGCCTTTGATATTTTGTCTCTCATTTGGAACTCTAAGTAAAGCATTTAAATACCTTTGTATATTTGTTCTTAGTTCAAAATGACTATAACTACTTTAAGGACAAGAATTATGTCTTATTTTTAAATATCCTTCAGTGGCATTTACTATACTACTACTGAGTTCACATTGGTATTTTTCCCAAACCCCATTTTCTAAAAGAAAAAAATTTATTTCTTCATAAGTGGCTGGAGACATGGAGACATTAAGTGAGCCACTTACTGTGGCAGATTAAGACTAGAACCATATTTCTTTTACATTTCATAGGTTCCTTGACATTTGTGAGATTTGTGTTTTTCCCCACTTTTTTGACGGAACAGATTTTTTTATTGAATTTTTTCATCTGTATTCTGAGGAGAGCTTTAGAAATAGGAAAGATTTTTGAGGATTTTCATAGTTTATACCCCTTTTCTTTCCTTTAAGAAATTTCCCTTCTTCTCATCATAAGACCTTAATTTCCTCCATTGGTTCTTTACCGTCTTTTTTTTTACTAAATGGATGTATTTAAGTTTCCCAAGATTTTGTCCTCCAGCCAGTGTGTGCACTCTCACCACTACTACTGCTGTGCTGAAAATGTGATGCTCTGCAGAGTAGGCAGTCAGTTGAGTTCATCCACAGCTTTTCCTTGGTTCATTGCTGAACCCCAGTTCTAACCTCCCCTATGTTAGACTTCTCATATTAAACTCAATCAACTTCTTGAGTTTAATATGCCTAAAACTGAACTGATTATTTTTTCTGTACCAAAACATGATTTTCTTGCTTTCGTTTTCTTACATGATGGTACCACCATTCTCCTGGTCACTCATTTTGGAAATTTCTGGAATGATATTTCACTCATTCCTTTTCCTCATCTCCTTACTTGAGTCATTTGTCAATTTCTGTTAGTTCCATCTGAGTCCCATAGCCACACCCTTCTTTGCAGTCCTCATGGTTTTTACCTTGTCTGTGGACTCGCCTTTCAATCAATTTTAAAATATGCAACAGAACATTTTGTTTTCTTCTAAAACCTGCAATGGTCTTTATCACCTATATTTCTTTTTTTTCAATTTTTTTAAAATCTTTTGTCTTTTTTTAAAGATTTATTTATTTATTTATACAAGCACTAGTACAGTCAGAAGCACCGGAGGGTGAGAGAATTCACCAGAGACAGAGTGGGGAACAGAACAGGCAGTCTGATGAAGTACACTGCTAAGGGGAGGAGCGTGGCAGGAGAGGTCTGCACTCCATGTGGGACCATTGCTGGCAGCTGGGGATCGAACCATTGCTGCAGAGGCTGTGGGCAGCTTCGCAGCCCAGCACTCAACCGCTGCGCCACCAGGGAGGCCCTGTCACCTATATTTCTTTAAGGTTTTCTAGGCTAACACTGCTTTTCAGGGCCTTTCCCCATTCTTTCAGTTACCTAGTGTATAATTCATTCATTGATCCAATAAATACTTATACCAGACATTATTCTAAATGTTGCTGATATGGCAATTGATGAAATGAGCAACCACTCCCTGCCCTTTTAGAGATTACATGACAATGAAAATACTAGCCACATTCACTCAAGTTTGTTAAGTACTTTCAGGACTCAGCTTCATCAACTAGGAACGCCAGCCCCACCTTTCTACCTATGTACATAATATGCCCCAGAAGACATTGCTCAACTGTCCCATTTTCCACAAAAGCTTCCCACATGCTACCTGTTGGAATTAATAACCTCTACTAAGCTCTGTTAACACATTATTTTATTTGGCTTTTCAATTACAATTAGTTGTTTAAAAATCTGTCTTCCTTACTAAACGACCTCTTAAGGGTTGGAACTGTCATGTTCTTTTCTTTGTGTCATCTCTGAGCCATGTACACAAAGCATTAATTTAAATTTAATCCTGAAGTAATGACTTGGTATTTCTATAAAAATGTGTAGTCAAATCACCCTGATCTAAACAAGAGATATAAAATAGCCAAGTCTGGCATTTTTAATCACTGGGTTACACTTTTCACTAAAGCATTAAAAAAATACTATTTTTTTGAGTTGCCTACAGCAGAAGATACACAGCATTCATAAGCTCTGTGTAGCAAGATGTAACTTTTAATTAAATTGGGAAGAGAGGAAACATTCATTTAAATGCATGGAAGTTGGTTTTATTTTTTAGTCACTTATAAACATCAGCCTGAGAGTCATTCATAAAAATTATAAATATTTTATTAAAAAATATTAATCTCTATAGCAATTTAATCCTCTGGAGAGAAACTGGTTTTTGTTTGTTTGCTTTTAATACTATTTCATATATCCCATTTCCCCTCATAATAAAAAACAGTAAAATGCAATTACTTATCTCCCACTAGGAAAATTTTTCTTCCTCATGCTGCTTCTCTTTATAGATTTTAAAGATTTTTAGTAAAGGATCAAATTATTTTTAATCAGTGACCTCAAAGTAAAAAGTCAATGTGCGTTCATACCTTTCTTGCATGATTCCTAACTTTGTAGCACAAGTTCTCGGATTGTATCTAGAGCAGCTTTCCCAAACGTGACATCTCCCTTTGAATATAACTTCATTATTAACAATGCAACAGAGATCATGTTAGCTGCAGTAGCCATAGAGTGATTTTTACACTCAGATTACTATTTTAGAAAAGAACTCAAGGGCCTCCCTGGTGGCGCAGCGGTTGAACGCTGAGTTGTGAAGCTGCCCGCAGTCTCTGCAGCACCAGTTCGATCCCCAGCCACCGGGTGGGGGTCCCACATGGCATGCAGACCTCTCCTGCCGCCCACTGCTCC